TGAGGTCTGCAATGCTGCTGCCTGAAGACCACAGGGATGGAGGCGGGGCGGTGACAAAGTCCCTTCTCTACAGGGCAGCCTCTGGAGAAGCAGTTCTTCAAGGAATGGTGGAGAGGAAGCACAGAGGACACCTGCTGCTGGCCGGAGAAGTCCATGGGTTCCCCGGGGCTTGACTGTGCATGGTTAGCGCTTCCCTGTGTCTTCCAGAACCTTCTTGACAGCTCCTTCCTCATGGACATATGCACAGCCTCTCCTGAGCAACACCTGACTCACAGGAAGTGCTCTTGAAAGTTTGTTAACCGATCAGTGAAGTTGGGAACTCCACCCGTGTTCGAGTTCCACAGCTTGCAGAAGAACATGGTGAGTTTCTTCTCAAACCCGAAGATCAGAATGAAATCCAGATTCCTTTGGGCACCAGCATCGAAAGTCCCTGAGTTTCTGTCCAGATATCAAAGCAAGAAGTGTGGAATTTGAGGGATCATTAGGCTGACTTCATCAATGGGGTCAAAAGACATCACTCTATGCCCCACATCCACTTGCAGGGTCCCCACGTGTCCTTGGTCTCCAGAGGGTCCCCGCTGACCGTAGACCAGGCATTTGCATGGCCGTCCTATCAGACAGCAGGCCTTGGAAGGCGGGCTCCTGCAGAGGTGGTTACTTGAAAGTTCTACAGCTTCTTTGTTCTCCCTGTTGAGCCATTTTAAATTGGTTTTGATTCTTACTATTTACTGCATTCTTTTGGAATGAGGATTTTTTGTCTTTTCTTTTGTTATTGTTAGATTGGTTTGTTTGGTCTATGTTTTCCTGTATATGAACAGTATATGGATAGTCAAATCTATAGAGCCAGTACTGGATCGATAGTTTCTTAAGGTTATGGCCAGGGAGTTTGTAGAGAAGTGAGGAGTCGGTAATAATAAGTATAAGAATGCAAGATATGACAAAATAATAACAATTTATAAATTATCAAGGGTTTCTGAGGGAGCGGGGAGTGGGAAGGGAGGGGGAAAATGAGGGCTGATACCAAGGGCTCAAGTAGAAAGCAAATGTTTTGAGAATGATGATGGCAGCAAATGTGCTTGACACAATGGATAGATGTATAGATTGTGATAAGATTTGTATGCGCCCCCAATAAATTTTTTTTAAAAAATTGAAGAAATCGTTCTAAAATAGATTGTGGTCATAATTGGACAACTTTAAAATATGTTTAAATCACTGAATTGAATGGTT